CATGGTCTAATTTTTTAAAAAGTAACAGCTTTATTGAGATATAATTAATATGCCATAAAACCAATCATTTAAAGTGTAATTCAGTGGGGCGCCTGGGTGGCTCAATCAGTTAAGCGTCTGACTCTTGATTTCGGCTCAGGTCATGATCTCGGGGTCCTGGGATTGAGCCCTGTGTCGGGCTCCCAGCTCAGCAGGGAGTCTGCTTCTCCCTCTCCCTCTGCCCCTCCCCCTTCTCTAGTACTCTCTCTCTTTAAAATAGATAAGTAAATCTTAAGAAAAATAAAAAATGAAGTGCCTAATTCAGTGGGTTTTATTATATTCACAGGCTGTGCAACCATCTCCACTGTCTAATTGCAGAACATTTCTATCACCCCAAAAAGAAACCCCATATCCTTCAGCTGTCACTCTCTATTTTTCCCTCCCTAAATCCCCTGGCAACGGCTAATCTTACTTTTTTAATTATTATTTTTTAAATTTAAATTCTAGTTGACATATGGTTCAGTATTGGTTTTAGGAGTAGAGTTCAGTGGCTCATCACTTATGTACAACACCAAGGGCTCATCACAACAAGTGTCCTCCTTAATGCCCATCACCCATCTAGCCCATCCCCCACCCACCTCTCTCCATCAACCGTCAGTTTGTTCTCTATCATTAAAAGTCTCTCATGATTTCTCTCCCTCTCTCTTTTATTCCCCCCTCCCGTATGTTCATCCATTTTGTTTCTTAAATTCGACATATGAGTGAGATCATATGGTATTTGTTTCTCTGACTTACTTTGCTTAGCGTAACATTCTCTAGCTCCATCCACACCATTGCAAATGGCAAGATCTCAATTTTTTTGATGGCTGAGTAGTATTCCATTGGGTATGTATACCCCCTCTTCTTTATTCATTCATCAGTCGATGGGCATTTGGGCTCTTTTCATAGTTTGGCTACTGTGTAATCTACTTTCTCTGTGGATTTGTCTCTTCTGGTTAGTGCATATCAATAGGATATGTGGCCTTTTGTGTTTGGCCTGTTTCACTTAGAATGTTTTTGAGGTTCATCTCTGTTTTAGCATATCTCAGTACTCTGTCCCTTTTATGGCTGAATAATAACCCATTCTTTGGATATACTGTTTTGTTTGTCCACTTATCACTTGATGGACATGGGTTGTTTCTGTGTCCTAGCTGTTGTGAAGAAAGCAGTTATGTACATTCACGTGTGAGTTTTTGTGTGGACATATGTTTTCATTTCTCTTGGGTATATAGCTAAGATCGGAATTGCTGGGTCATATGGTAACTGCATTTACCTTTACTGAGGAACTTCCAGATAGCTTTCCAAAGTGACTGCACCATTTTACATTCCCTCCAGGAATATGCGAGGGGTCATTTCTCTGCATCGTCTCCAACACTTGTCCTCTTTATTGCAGCCCTCCTGGTGGGTGTGCTCTCATTTTATGGGTAAGAAAACGGATGGTGCATTGTTTACCAAAGTTCATAGAGCCTAGTAGGTTGCCAAGTTAGAACTTTTTCTTTCTTTAAAGCAAATACTTGCATGATGCATGCTCTGTGCTAGGCATTATTTAAGTTTTTTGCTCTTACTATTTATTCTTTACAACAACCTGAAAGGAAGGTACTGTTATCATCTGGTTTATAAATGCATACAGGGCCTAGAGCTGGGGTCCTTGGGCACAACACTGAAGGAGACAGCACTCTGAGATTCCACCAGCACCTACACGACCCTTCCGTGCTGCATCCTGTGTGCCTCACTGGCCTCATCTTAGCCCTGACCCTGTGTGAAGAAACTGACACAGCGGAAGATGGAGTAACTTACCCGAAGCTGCATAAGTCAGTACATGGCAGAGTTGGCATTCCAACCCAGGAAACCTGGCTTCAGAGCTCAAGCCATTAACCACTATGCTGTGCTCACACGTAGGCCTTTGATGCCCAACCTGGGCTTTTTTCTGTTTCTTTCTCAAGACCTACGCTTCCCAAATTTGACAAGTGAGGAATGCAAAGTAAAATCCCAAAGATGGGTTATAGGGAGACCAAACAGAACTAACTGAGCTCACAGCTTGCCAGGTACCTACCGCATGTTCCATGGAAGAGTTAACTGGCCACACAGTTTCCCTTGGCCACATCTGTGCTTGTTATCCCAACACTGCATAAATCTGCCTAGTTCGTGTCGGCCACCCTGCAAGTGTCCAGATGGACCCTGTCCTGGTGGGGAAGGGGCCATCCTGAACCGTCAGGATGATGAGTTCTGCCCGCTGTAAGGAAAACACATGCTCTCTTGGCCAAGTGGCGATGAATCTGCCCTTCAATCCAGCATCCCGATTCAAGGATGCAGAAATCACATCTCTCACAATCACACCCCAACTGGTGGCTCACTCTTGTTAGCCTGTTTATCAGAGTTAACCGCTCGTTTGTTTTTGAAACATCATCTTTCCAGTGGTGATGCTGTTCCTGTGGGTTTTGCATGGTTCTCCATTTAGGCCGAGGCTCCTGGAAGGTAACCTGGATACAAAAATGTTCATCCTCAGGGTGATGGGCGGCCTTTGGAAAGATGCTTACCCAAGTCATCAGCCAACAGTAGGTTCTCCCTCTGCTGCCTCTGTTCCCCAAGAGCAGGATCAAGTCAGTCCCGGTTCAGTAGCTCTCGGTAGGTGAGATGCAGCAGTGCATCCTGGCCCAGGCCAGCAGATTTCTGTTACGTTAGAAGAAAATTTTACAGCTGTTGTTCTCCATTAAAAATGGTCACTCTTGGAGCACCTGGGTGGTGCTGTCGGTTAAGCATCTGACTCTTGGTTTTGGCACAGGTCATGATCTCAGGGTGTTGAGATGGAGGCCCTTGCTGGGAGTCTGCTTGAGTTTCTCTCCCCCTTTCTCTCTGCCCCTGCCCCCCTACTCTTGCACACTCTCTCTCTCTCAAATCAATCAGTAAATCTTTTAAAAATACAATCTTTTATGGTTGCATTTTTACCCTTTTGTTTGGAATTTCAATTCCTCAAAGCTGTGGGACTCTGGACCAGCAGGACCAGCAGCACCTGGGAACTTGTTGGAAACGCAGAGTCTCAGGCCCCACCCCAGACCAAGTGAATCAGAGTCTGCCTCTAACAAGATCCCTAGCTGATTCCTGGGCACATCCAAGTTTGAGAAGCACTGCTCCATGTGTCCTCATTTCTCAATAACCAAGCTGGCATCTCCACCCAGCGTTTACTTTGAGGCTGGAATTCTTGGTAGGCTTTCAGATCTTAAAAAGAAAAGACACACACACAGAGAAATTCTTTCCCTCGCCTTTACATGATGTCATTCATTTTACCTGGCCTGCCACAAGAAAGAAAAAGGCAGATTACATCCAAGTTATATATATTTTTAAGACTAACTTCTTAATTGCCTGTCTTAAAGCGGCACACTGGATCCCCCATCATTAACAGAGTCCCAAGTGTTGCCAAGATTAATCGAGAAATGCCTCAAGGCAAAATAAACACTGTAGCACAGTTTAATTCAAAACCATATCAGCTAAGAATGAAGGTGCAATTAGTGATAAAGATGTTAATAATTAGTTGTGGTCTGTTAAATTTTATATTCGGTGGTTACATAGAATGAAGAAAGAATTTCCTCATGAGGACAGAAATTAATGTTTCACCTTCATTGCTATTTTAATGTGCTTATTTTAATGGGGCCATCCTGTAGAAACCCTTGGGCACATTTCCAATTTTACATAAATGTAGAATTAATTATTATGGAAGCATATAATTTTAGAGCTGGAATGACCTTCATGGTCATTAGATCCAGCTCAGACATTTTACAAAGAAGAAATGATTTCTTCAGGTCCTGCCACCGAGTATTGGAACCTTGCTCCCCAACTCAGACCAGTGACAGTGAAACCCCTTCTCACATCCCTGCAGACAGAAATGCTTCTTTTTGCCTCAAAAATCCCACAGCTTTGAGTTGAAATTCCAAACAAAAGTGTGTAGTTGCTCTCAAGTCCCTTACTCCACCTTACCCCACCATGTTCTGGTTGCTTTCTGTTGTAAGGTTGCTTGGGAACCATATCTGACTCACTTTTATATTCCTGACCATTCCTAGCTCTGGGTTTTGTAAACAGTAGTCGCATAATAAATTTACATGCAGTGTGTTGTGCTGGAGCTGTTCTATCCCATTCACTAGAGCTGGTTGTGTCTTCATGATGGTGGCTTGAGATTGGCCATGGAGGAAACATTTACACCCTGGATGTAGATAAATGCCACAAACCAGGGCTATCTCCACCCCACCCCCAAAAACCAGCACACAACTGTTTATGTGATTTTTCTAAGGTCACAAGGCAGCAGGTCTTGACAAAATCTAAAGATTATACCAACACGAAGATGCCTGTTCACCCAGTGTTCAGCGTGTGTTGCCTCAAGAGTGATGGATGGCCAACTGTTTGACCTCCTCTAATTTCTTTGGGGATTAATTTTGACCGAGAGCAAGTCAGGCCTCAGGGCTGCATTAGGGTGTGGTTGCTTAGCTAAATTCCACTTACCTGGAAAAGCTATTTGGGCATGAATGGTAAAGGAAACTGGTCTGAAATATCAGGCACAGTTGAGTGAGAAAAAAAAACCCCACAGATTATTTTCAGAGAAAACAAATGAATAGGAAGTTACTGTGGCCGAAATTACAATTATATCCTTATACTTCTCAAAAAACCTCAGTGGCTCCCTACAGCCTGCAAACAGGCCCAAAGGCCCTGCCGTCAGTCACATACTGACCACAGCTTACTGTTCCAACCTCATTTTCCACCACTCACATCGCCCACCTTCTTTCGACTTTCCAGCCTCTGTGGAGCCCCTCTGCGCCAGCTTCCATGACGTCCCCTTCTCCTGGAATGCCCTCCCTCTACCTCCCTGGTCCACCATAGGCTCTGTCCCAGAGTTTCCATCCCTCCCCAGTCCCCTCCATCGTGGACCACAGCTTCGGGGTTAACACGGAGCTTCCTGTGACTCGGTTCATCTCCGCTTGTGTGTCTTTCTTTAGGAGCAGGACCCGTGGTCCCATCGGCCCTGGCAAGTATGGCTACGGGAAGGCCCCGTACATCTTACCACTGCAGACGGACTCCGCACACTCGCCGCAGAGGCTTCGGAGGCAGAGGCCCCCGTCCCGGCATTCCAGGACCCAGGGGGCATCCGGTCCTAGCCACGGCTACGGCCCGCCGGCCCACCGGGCTCCCCAGCATGGGCCTCTGTACCAGAGTGACGGTGGCCCTCGTTCTGGACTGCAGACCTCCAAGGCCTCCCTCTACCAGCGGCCCTTGACCCACGACCAAGGCTTTCCCGCAGCTTCCAGTCTCTTCCACGGCCCGGAAACCAGCAGCAACCATGGCTTGGGGGCCCCCAGGGCAGCTCAGAGCTTCTCGCAGCCCGCCCGGTCTGCAGCCATCTCCTGCATTGGGGCCTATCGGCAGTACAAGCTGTGCAACACCAATGTGAGTACACACGGCCTCACGTGGGCCTGGGGACCACTATCGCTCCTCTTTCTGCGTTGCCGTCACGTGGAAGACAGCGAGGGCCCGGTCCCTTAGGCCATGTTAATGCACCCGTATATCTTCTCTCCCTCTCTCTTCTCTCCATGAGTTCTCCATGGATACTTCCCCTTTTCGTAAGGTTGTGACTTTAGTAACTTAGGAATAACTTCTTGACGGTCGCTGTTGCTGCGACCTCCATATTCTCAGGGGCGTCGTATCAACAATATTTATTCTTTGTGCACAGGTCGGTGGGTCAAGGGCAGTTTGGCTAGTTTAGGGCCGAAGGTGGCAGTGCCCAAGACGTGGGAGTTGGCGGAGGTTTGACCAGCATCCGTAATGTTCCAGTCAGTGTCCTGCCATTCTAGGCATGAGCACTTTGGATATTGTATGATGAAAAAGCCTGAGAGTGAATAACTTGCTGAAGATTCCATAGCTAATCAGTAGCAAAGTGAATTATAAATGGGAACTACATAAGATGACCAAATGTGGTTTTTTAAAAAAAAAAAAAATCAGTTTAAAGAGTATATCTAAAGGAGAAAGGAATAAGAGAATGTTCAAAGGTTAAATTTCCAAGTTGCTCTGTTTTTCATTAATAATTTAATCTGCCTTAATATTCTGTTACTGGGCAACAGGACAGCTGTTACATATTAGCTTCAATTTCCTCATTAAAAATATATTTCCTGCTATAGAGTCCATAGAAACGACTTAATTTGTGATCTTAATAATTCCTCTGAATGCCTGGATTGCTTTTTAGCCTGTTCTTCCACTGACAGACTTCAGGAATTATTAATTTTTGTAAAGCAGTAATTTTTCTAAAGCCATTACAAATCAGTCAACCATTAAGTCTTAATTAAGCATCACTGCTTGCTTGTAACGGACCGAGAGACATGGAAGATGAAAGAAAAGTCGTATTATCTATCTTGTAGAGTCGTTAGGAGGATCAAATGAGGTGATATTAAGACAGGACTTTATAAATCGAAAAGAAATACTTGTGTCCGTGATCATACATGGTCCTTGTTCTTGAATATCATTACTATCCTTTTAAGGATCTTTAAGATTCAGGGGCACCTGGGGAGTTCAGTCGGTTAAGCATCTGACTCTTGATTTCAGCCCAGGTCATGATCTCAGGGTCGTGAGATAGAGCCCCGTGGCTCCGTGACAGCCTCCGAGGTGGGTGTGGAGTCTGCCCCTCCCCCACTCTCTCTCTTTCTCTCTTAAAAAGAAGTAAAATTAAAATCTTTTAAAAAATAAATGAAATGAATTCATCTGTAATGTAGAACACAGTCTCCCATTGACTAGTATGTTTCTTAATTTTGAAGACCACATAAATCATAAAGAGAAAGAAAAAGAGAGCGAACATTTGGCACATATGTGGACCTGGTATCTACTTAGTATTTCTGTCACTTCACCTACATTTTGCAAGTACGCACATTTTGCTAGGCCTGTGCTGCTGACAGCAGGGCCACCTCTCTCCATGTGCACGTTGTAGCTTTTTGGGTACTAGGATGACTCCACTATTAAGGACATTGAATTGCAAGGAATCTTAGAAAATGCCTGTGAATTTATGATGTCTGCCATCATTTGGCAGCTGGCAAAGTAACACCGCAAACCCAGGACAGAGACGTCAATGTCGACAAAAGATTATATAGCTTTAGTTCCGTTTTCTTGGCTGTAACATTTCACACAGTGTCCTCCCCAGTGCACCCCATCATCCCAAGTCCCATCTTACTTACCCTTATTGAGAGATGCCATTCCTTAGAGGCCCCATGACTGCCTGTCTTCTTTTTATAAGCCCGTGGCTTCTTGGCTCTTGGGTCATCCCCTAGCCCCCATGAACACCTTAACACTCCCTGTGTTAGGGCTCCCTAAGACCTCTCCTAGGTTTGATGATTTGCTGGGAGGACTCATAGCTATGATTTATTACAATAAAAGGATACAGAGCAAAATCAGCAAAGAGAAAGGCACATGGGTCAAAGTCTAGAGGAAGCCAGGCACACACTTCCAAAGTCCTCTCCCAGTGGAGTCACACAGGATTTGCTTAATTCCCCCAACCAATGAGTTGTGACAACGCGTGTGAAGTGTTGTCTACAAGGGAAGCTCATTAGAGACTCGGTGCCCAAGGTTTTTACTGGGGGCTGGTCGCATGGGCACCCTCTGCCTGCCACATACCAGAATTCCAGACTCCTAGAAGGAAAGCAGGTGTTTGGCATTAACTGTATTGCTAATACAAATAGTTTGGGCAAAGTGAGTCACTCTTATCACTCAGGGAGTGATGGAAACCCTTCTGAAATCCAAGTTCCCAGATGCCAGCCAAGGACCAATCTTGCAAGCAAGCCTTTCTGAAGAGAGCTGTTTCAGTCCTGCTGTGTGGAGTCTTATTTGCACACTTCCTGTGTGGACCCATGTGCTCCGTCACCTTAGCATGAATGACCACATGTGGACATTTATGTACCCTCCCCTACCAGTGGGCAACATGAAGAGATAACATGAATCTCCAAATTGTGTAAATTTCCTACTCCAAGATGAAAGTGGTGAAGGGCAGTATTGTGAAAAGTTGTACTAGTCTCCCAGGGAATACGGGTTATCACTTATGTCCTCTCCAAAGATTAAAAAGGAATATGTGCATTTAGAGATTTCTCCCCATTCCTATCTGGGAGAAGAGAAAGAAGGGAAGTTAGGCCAGGGCATGTTGGAAACATCCCCTGATTTCAGAACTCCATGCCTTAAACTAAGTGCCCAGTAGATCCCACCCAAGTTCTCGATGGAATACCCCACTTGCTAAGACTACCCCCACAGTGACCTCCACTACATGGTGATGCCTATGAGGGGCGGTGTGAATGGTTTGGCAGGCTTCCAGATCTGGAAACAGCATCTCATCACTGCTCACAGTCTCTCCCTCAACACGCTTGGGGTCCAGGGGCAGAGAAGGTGCCCAGTGCAGCGGCCTGGATGTCATTGCCCTTGGTGCTGGAGCACCTGGGGACAGGGAGGAACTCTGGGAGCACAGAGCAGGAGGCCACTGGGTTGGGGAAGACTCCACTGAAGAGGGAACAGTTGAGCTGAGCTTCTAAGGTTGGCCGAAAGAGAGAAGAGGGCATTTAGGGGCAAAAGAAAGAGCTTAGTCAAAGACAGGGAGGCAGGATTGTGCCAGAGCCTCAAAAGGCGCCAAGACACCTGCCAGGTTGTAGGGCCCTTCCTTTCTTAACCTCTGGCCTCCTCCTATCCACTTTAAATAATCACAATTTTAGTGGGCATTTTGTTCTTTAACATCTCAAAATACAGAGATTTCATATGGGCCTTGCTTGACATCTATACATGAGGTAGATGCGTGAGAAAACATTTAGAAACACAGTGCAGAGTGAGAAAGTGATCTAATCAACTGGTTTAATTGGGGTTAGGCTGCAGGGCATCGGAAATAGTGGACTCAGGGGCAAGCTGTGCTGGACTCGAGCCCCAGTCTCCTTGGGCAAGGCGCTCAACTCCCTGGGACCGTCTGGGAATCGGCGATAATAACAACACCTGTTCCACAGGGTTGATTGTGCACACTAGGAGCTGATACGTTAGGAAATACGGTGGTTTGACCTGGAGAAGTAAACGTGGCTCGCGTGCCTCTCCGGAGCTTGGAGCAGAGCAAAGTCTCGCCATGTCACTTTCCAAGTGCTCAGTCACGAAATTGTGGTTGAGGTGGTCAGACTTGCTCAGAGTCCCCTTTTGTCCTCTGGATTACCTGGGGTTCAGAGTCCTTTCCCTTCGCCCATCAATAAAACACGATTGCTGGGGCGCCTGAGTGGCTCAGTCGGTTAAGCATCTGCCTTCAGTTCAGGTCATGATCCCAGAGTCCTGGGATTGAGCTCAGGATCGGGTTCCCTGCTCCTTGGGGAGCCTGCTTCTCCCTCTCCCACTCCCCCTGCTTGTGCTCTCTCTCACTCTCTCTGTCAAATAAATAAAATCTAAACAAAACAAAACAAAACACAATTGCCAAGAGCCCCAACATATCAAGTGTAATATAGCTTCCGTGCAGTCACCCTTGGGTCAGGTGTAAAGTGATAAGAAAATGAAACTACAGATAAGTTCCTGCCAGTGAATGCTTACCACCCTCAAATGTGAATGTTTAATGTGAAGCCCCATCTTGTGATGTCATCTGGGAATTTTAAACATCTAGTGTGTCTTTAGGATTGTTTGACTCTATTAAGATGTCCTTTATGAAATACTATAAAATAAATAATAAATGCAGTCCTAATGATCTCTGCATGTAGACTTTAAAGATAAGGAAGGGTTTTTTTTTTTTTTTAACATTTTATTTATTTATTTGAGAGTGAGAGAGAGCATGTGCTGGGGGAGAGGCCAATGGAGAGGGAGAAGCAGGCTCCCTACAGAGCAGGGAGCCCAATGCTGGGCTCAATCCCCGGACCCTGGGATCATGACCTGAGCTGAAGGAAGATGCTTAATCGACTGAGCCACCCAGTCGCCCCAAGGAAGGGTTTTTTTGGTTCTGTTTTTCTTTTTTTTCTTGCTTACATTGTATGTGAGGAAGTTAAGGTGACAAGCCCCAGTATAACTAGAGACAGTTTCGGTCTTTTAGAGCAGACACCAGTCTTCGACCTCTACTGGTACAACACGCCAGGCCACTCGCTAGTGTGGGTTCTTACTTGGAGTCCATAAACACAGCATTGACATCGGTGGTGGGATCCGGCATGAGGCTGTGGGTCAGGGACACTGAGATGAAGGCAAGTCCTGGCTCTCAGTGGCTCACAGCCCAGTGGGAGAGACTCCTAAATAGATCATGACAACTATGGAGTGCAGGCACCACTGCATGTGCTGGGAGGCTCTTTGAAATCATAGTAGGCCCGGCTTGGCCTCCTGGAGAGGTACAGGAAGGTTTTCTAGGGAGGGGGAGTGACAGGGGCTCCCAGAAGGGCTGAGGAGCATGAAGGGGGCTCTCGGGGGACCTCTCGGTGGAA